GCGTCTATCTCCCCCAAGAAAAGTCCACATAATGGGGTTGCTGAAGTCGGCCCCAGGAGACCTGGGGAAGAGATGGCAAGGTGTGGCTCCCTGGCAAGCACAGCGCTGCCAACCCACCCGGGACATGGCAAGACGAGAGCCACCCCTCTCCATCCACACGGGATGCGCCCATCTTGGTGTTTCCGCCCCATAAGAAAAGGGTCGTGTGAAGACAGGGATGCACTTTATTCCACCACTTTTATTGAGCAACGGCCGTGGGGACCTGATGCTGCGCTCAGTGCTCTACTGTGAGACATCACCAGACGTCATTGCTAGAGGCAAGAATCGCTTACAAAGATGAAAGGGCAGAGCCTAATACTTGTTTTTTAATGGTTGTTATTCCATGCAGAAACACTGACTGATCCAGAACTGGTAGCTAAGGCGGTGATCAAACAGGAATGCTCTTCTTCTCAGTTTAAGACGAAGACCCGCCATGACAACGGCTGGAACGCTGGAGAAGAGAAACTCCACGGCGGCCGGTGTGAAGCTTCTCGCCAGATTTGTGGCTCCACCCCCAAGTACCCACGTGGAGAGGCCTCCAGTCGTACAGCACAAAGGGCATCGCCTTGGGCGGCTCAGGTTCACTCTGTCCCGCACTGTCTGTGGTGGGAGGTTCGGGCCGGCCTGGGTGCATCCAGTGAGTACCACGTTCCCTTTTCTGGTCACACTGTCTCCAGGACAGGCCTGATCCGTTCTCCATTGCCCCAGAAACCCACACATCCCTGAACTAATCATGCAAAGGGGTTCTTAAAATTTATGAAGACAAAGACTCCTAGGCCGGCCCATGTAGTCTGAATAGGCTACCGAATGCTCCACCAATGGCTTATAATGCAGAACGACCTGTTTCTATCACTGCAGGACGGGATTGTAAGATTTTCTTATCCCGCCTTGGCTGCAGAGTCCCATTCCCGTCCAACCCAAAGCACTAGGACAATGCTGGATGTGATCGATGTTCCATGAGTATCCGCAGAACCAAATAATAAGTGGGCGATGGTGCCTCCTGGGTGTGGGCAGCCTCTCTTACTAATTTGATAGCTTCAAGGAGTTCACAAACTGCAGGGTGGGTGAAGAATTCGTTTGACAACCATAGAAACAGATGAAAAACAATTCCCACCGAGTCTCCAAACAGCCCTGTGCACTGAGAATGCCGAGCCACGAGAATATACACCTTGACACACCTTCACACTGCTGTCGGTCTGAATGGCTCATTAGCAAAACCTTAGGGGTACCGCCTGCGTGTCCTCTAAAAGGTTTTTATCCTACACGTAAACTTTTTACAAGAGTTCAAGACCTAATACTGAAGACGAATTTCCTAAGAAACTCAGTGCTCCTTGTGGGGTATACAAAGCCAGGGCCTTCCCCTACAAACACCATAGAAAGCCCCTGAGTGACGGACGCGCCCAGGCGCGGGGCTGGGGGATGCTTTGGAAAGTGCTCCAGGAAAAGCATCCACACAGCAGCCAGCAGAGCCGCGGTCCCAGGCCACATCCGAGGCCGACCTTCCGTGGGCCCAGCCATTCCCTATGAGCACCGAAGGCAGTCCTGGTGCCGACCCGGAGGTGGCGGCCTGCACCTGGGACCTGTGCATCTGTGGTCGGCTGCCCAGGCGAGTGGGAACTAGCAACAATGCCCTGAGTCCCCAGCTCTGCCAGCCTCCTCTGTGCTCCCCACGCCGTCTGTCCTGAGAGTGCCTTTGAGGACGGCCCGTAAAAGAGGAAAACTGGCCCACGCCCAGTGAGGAGGTAGGTTCCGTAGAACAGCGCAGGGTCACACCCACAATTGTGACCTGAGACGCAGGCCTTCCCAACACCTTGGAAACATTATCCAGGATGCAGAATAGAAGCCTACACAGCATCGCAGGAAGGGACTCGAAGGAGCGTTGTTCTATCTACAGCAATCACGCTGCTTCCGAGGAACAGGCAGAGCCCTCACCCGGGCAATGCTGGGCACAACGGGGGCAGTCACGGCCCGGACCCCGCGTGCAACTCAGTTGTAGGAGAGGTAATCAATGAGCCGGGGTGCGATGTTTAACTTGGCGATCTTCTCCAGCCCTCGGACGCCAGTGGCCTTCCTCAAGCTCACCCTGCAGAGTTGCGACAGAGTCAGAGGTGTCTCTGAAAAAGGGAACGAGGAAGGCCATGAGGTTAATTTCAGGAAGGAACACAACACCTGCAACCGAACACAAACTCAGACAGAATCGAAATAGCCTCCCTTTCCCCTGGAACCGGGCTGTGTCCTGCAGGCCTCCTCTGGAAGGACAGCCAGGAACCTGAGGAAGGGAGCCCAGGAAATGAAATTCGGGGCGTGATGTCCACTGGGATTGCCTTTTGTGGGGTTTGGGGGTTTGTTTGGTTTTAAGGTTTTTTGTTTTTTGTTCTGAGACAGAGTCTCGCTCTGTCGCCCAGGCTGGAGTGCAGTGGCGCAATCTCGGCTCCCTGCAACCTCCACCTCCTGCATTCAAGCAATTCACCTGCCTCAACCTCCCAAGTAGCTGGGATTACAGGCACCCACCACCATGCCCGCCTAATTTTTATATTTTTAGTAGAGACAGGGTTTCACCAAGTTGGCCAGGCTGGTCTGAAACTGCTGAACTCAGGTGATCTGCCCGCCTCAGCCTCCCGAAGTGCTGGGATTACAGGTGTGAGCCACCGCACCTTTTCAAAACCATGGTTTTGGTTTTTTGAGCCACGGCATTATATTTCAGCACCCAAATTTGTCATCAAACAACTATATCTGCAGCTAGGAGGCTCATCTGTCAAATGTCCGGC